AAATAGAAATAGCCAAAAATAGCGCTCAGAACAAAAAACATCAAAATCGCAAAAAAAAAAAACAGAAACGCAAAAAAATCAATGAAAATTAGCGTTATCTGAATATTGATGCTAAATCAGTATTTGTAATTATGCATTGTCACGTTTTTTTAGTTGGGAATCGCGCCCGAGACGCAAGACGGATCAAAAAAGGAGGTGAGGAGAGAAGGATGATGGGCCTCTCCAAATGGTCTCTCGCACGTTCCGACAATTATACTCAAAATCAGAGTTGAGCGCCAGATCCGTAAGCTCGCGTCCACGAATTTATTCCAAAATCGTGAAAACTCGGAAATAAACACGATAGCGTAATTAGTCAGGCGTGCGAGGGATCGGCCAACTTGACCTAGCGGAGAAGGGCGGGATTGATAATGGGCAGCGCACAAATTCGGCGGGGTGACGGTTAGGGCCGGTCTACAATCAGTCATATATCGGAGTCGGATGTCGGAACATAGCCGATGGTCCAATGAGAGAATTTCATTTTCGGAAACGAATTTTCCTCATTGGACTATCGGCTACGTTCCGACATCCGACTCCGACATACAAATGAATGTAGACCGTCGTGAGACAGGTTAATTTTACCCTACTGATGACCAGTCATTGCGATAGTAATCCTGCTCAGTATGAGAGGAACCGCAGGTTCGGACATTTGGTTCACGCACTCGGTCGAGCGGCCGGTGTTGCGAAGCTATCATCCGTGGGATTATGCCTGAACGCCTTTAAGGGGGGAACCAGATATTTTTCTGGTTTAGGAGGCTAAAAAAAAGGAGATTTTTATGAATTTTTTTATTGACAATAATGCAGTTGAGGTTTCTAAACCTTTTACAATATTTAACTGCTTATTTGAAGAGGTAAAAAAAATTTTATATTGTAAAATAATTGCAAAATGGCGCCGTGGTGTATCTCTAATCAGAGCGCCTCGCCAACAATCTGCGGGAAAGATAGAGAAAAAACTAATTGATCAATCGACTTGATTCAAAGTGCGTTAGATAAAGAATAAACAATCATTCTATGTAAACCTCAAACTTTGGTAAAAATATTAATTTAAATAATTGTTATTGCATAAAAACGGAGGATATTTTTTCTCAAAAATTTTATGTTTTTGTTCAAGTGCTAAAAAAATTTGTATTTTTCAGTTTTTTAAACATGTTGTTGGTTCATATAAAATAAAAATATATAAAAATTAATAATCTTTTTCGTTTTTTTGTCTGAGATCAAAATTGCGGGCTACATTTCTCCCGTAGATGTTGGCGAGGCGCTCCGATTAGAGATACACCACGGCGCCATTTTGCAATTATTTTACAATATAAAAATTTCTTTTACCTCTTCAAATAAACAGTTAAATATTGTAAAAGGTTCAGAAACCTCTGCATTATTGTCAATGAAAAAAATTCATAAAAATCTTTTTTTTAGCCTCCTAAACCAGAATTCCCCCTTAAGGCCGTATCCTCTCTAGTCAAAGGTGGCAATGATATCTCTAGGAGTCTCGTAGTAATCGGTAACAATCTTTATTATAGTTAAGAAACACGGTGAAATCTGATGTCAAGGATCAAGAATTTAGTGAATTGAATGATTGAGTAGCTGAAATTAAATAACGATCTGAACTGAATACTGAATACTAGAATTTGTAGAATTACAGCACTGAATTAATGTGAAATCGAAAATAAGAATTAATGAAACTCTAGATGAAGTCGCAGTAAACGCGTAGTAATATAACTGAATCAAAAGTCATCTGGTATAATCGAACAAAAGACAATTAGAAACTGCATCGAATTAATGTCACAGAGAAGAACTTAAACGCGAATTACATATGAAGTAAACATAGTATGACACACAGTCGAATAGAACTTAATACTAGACATAAGATATAATTAGGCGAAAGAAATGCGGCGCCACGCTCGGCGCGCAAAAACTAAATGTTCGAAACCGCAAAAGGGTTCCGTCGCCAGGGTACCATACGCTCGAAGGAGGCGCGGGACTTTAAACACGACGCTGAATATCATGCGACTTATACCGCACCGCTATAACACGCGTGACACTCTCAATCCGACGCACCATAGATCGCTCAATATAACTCGCGATAATTCTAAGTAGGCGAGAACGTCGAACGCGAAATATAACAAAAGGAAAAGCTAAATTTAACACAAGTATTGCACGCGGAGTCTAATACACATACAAATGACACACGCGAGAACACTTCGGACGACGCAAAATATAGTACGCAAAGACACCTAATATAACGCGGAATACCGCACGCGATTACACCAAGTACAACGCAAAATAGAACGCAAAATCGAAAACGCGTATGCGAAAGCAAACGCGAGTACACCGCACGACAGTAATGGCGGATATACGATTCCCGTACTTCGGCCGCTGCCGAAGGCTCGCCTGCATCCACTCATGGTCGCGATCTCCAGGAGCGGTAATCGATGACTCTTTTAGCCAACAAGATTATCTCGGGGCCCCTCGCGTCCAATGCCGACCGCCAACGCTAACACCAAAAATTACACCCTTTCGGCGATGTTCACTAATAAACCGCGTGTCAGACCGAGAACGTGACCTGGAGAGCTGGTTCGTGGCTTCACAAAGAGTTCAAGGCAACCTCACCGGCGCGGCGCGGCGCGACGTACGGACTCCTCTCTTGCGCCGCTGCTCTCAATTCTCGAGGCTCAGGCCAGAATTTTGCCAATCTTATACGGTAGCCAAAGTGCGCGGAAACAACGCGACTTTTCACGCCGGAGGACGACCAGGAAGAGATTTGCGGAATTTGCTCGATAGCGAAATCGCTGGCGCGCCCCATCTAAGGATTGCGCGGCCCTTCTACGCGATAACGCGAGCCAACCAGAGACGGGCTCGCGAGCTCGCGATAACATCCTCGCGCAGTGCCGTCAGCATATCCTGCAGGGGCGTCTGGCGACCTCTCGTTCTCGCAGCGGCCTCCCGGGATTCTTTTTAGCGGTCTGAACTCGCTGGTTCTTCGAGAGTCCTCTCCGGTGACACTAGGATGGTGGTCAGCCATCTCGGGTCCAGTCATTGAAGTGGAGGTCGGGCGGGGAACTCGTTCATTCCTGGCGCCGGGGGCCCTGCCACAATACGTTCCGCTAGCCGTCGAATCACGCGCAACGCGCGTGTTTTTTCGCGCCCTTCTCGTCTCGCCGCCCGCGAGATGCCGCCAATAATCGCCTCAACGGTCGGCCCTCTCCTCTGGTCTCGAATCCCTCGATTAGCCGCATTCTGATGGAGACGTCCCTGTATGTTCGCTTCGACGAGGTGCAAACCCGCCGTTTGTGACGGCGTGGCGGCGGAGACGCTGGCTGCCGCGATGCAGCTGAACTGTAACGTCACAGCATAAAAACATCCCATTCTCCAATGACTTTGACTTTGACATATGTTGCATATTTGCTTCGCAAAGTACATGGGCTTTCCACGCGTGGAAAGTTGTAAACTCACGTAGCACCTCGTTTCGCGTGGAAAATATGTATGCGTGGAGGCAGTAGCTTCCACTCCCATAAAAAAATAGGTAGGGTACATATTTTTCGGGCTCCCCCAATTGATTATCACTGTCGGAGTCACAACAATAATTTTTATCAAGAGAACCAGGAAAAAATATTAAAATTAGGAAGAGCCTCTATTCCGAATAATTACCTTTATGGTTTCTTTTTAACTTGCGAGTCTGATCACCATTTTTAAGTTTCAGATTTATGTTTAGAGAACAAAAATGCATAGAAATTGGGTATTCTTACCCATTATTTTATATAGATGAGTTTTCCGAAGGTTAACCTGCGTTTTTCTATTTTTTTTTTGCGATTTTTGATGTTTCTCGTCCCGAGAGCTATTTTTAAGTTTTATATTCATGTTCAGAGGACAACAATATGTAAAAATTTGGTATTTTTATTTATTTTATATGTATAAGTGGATTTTCCGAAGATTTAGGGGAGGCCGGGGCTAGTTAGTACACGGCAATTGTTGCAAAAGTGACAAAAGATAATATTGCATAAAAAATATAGTATTTTTGCAAAAACATTGCGATAATATTTTAATTAGTTATTTTAGGCTGAGCAGCGTATTTTCACAAACAGAAAATATTTTTAGTTTTGTATAGCCAAAAGTAAAATAAATTAGTGATGTATTTGTATATATAATGTTATGTTTATAAATATTCATATTTCTAAATCTGGTCATTGTATCATAATTCTAACTGTCTTTAAAATCTTTACTTTAAACGTAATAACTCCTAGTTATGTTAATATCTTAAAACATTTTTTTGTTTAAACAATAATCAAAATATCTAAACATGGAAGGTTGGGGTTGGTTGTGACGGGGTAGGTTGTTATTTTTCTTCTACTTATAATTTCGAGCAACTCCGTCGATGTAACACATAACTTCGGCATAACAGCGGCAGATATTTTAATCTTATGTAAGACTTTACCGTTACATCTCTTATTACATATCAGAAACAATCAATACAGAACATCAGTTAAATTATATCTACATTATAATTATGCACTCAATAATGTAAATGTAATATAACACATATTGTTACTTGTTGTTATTTCTTTTTATTAAATACATATATTATACTTTGAAAACTGGATCTTTCACAACTTAATCCAATACTGTAACAACTTACCTCGTATATGGGGCTGGTTGTTACAAATGTCGCATTATAATTGTTATTGTTGCAACAAAATTAATTATACTATTTAGTTAAAAAAATAATTTTTGTGTTGTATAAGCATGCGACTATTGAAAAATTCGTTTGCGGCTTGTATTCCATTTATTAGTTACGTGTAAAAAAATCTTTAAACAAGTGTACCAACTAGCCCTGGTCTCCTCTACCGGACAATGTTATATAAAGATTGTTTAGATCAGTTATATTAAGAACATGATTTTTTGACTATATTACTAAATTCTGTATTACTAAATTTACTTTATCTGATTTTAACGAATGATTATTGACGCAGATTCTGCATATGCCGAAAGATACATGGGATTACCGAACGTGACATCCAATTACAAAGGCTACGCTGAATCCAACGTTTATGACAAAGTAAGGTATCTGCATGATAAGATGTTTTATTTGGTACACGGGACTGCGGATGACAACGTCCAATTTCAACAGTCCATGGCACTTGCTCGTCATCTTGCTAAGGAAGGCATACTCTTTCGACAGCAGGTACTTTGACATTTTTTTGCATAAATATAAAATTTATACTTGTACAAGTGATTTTCTGAAGTGCAAACAAAAAATATTGGATACTACTTGAGATTATTTCTTATTTAAAGGAAAGATGATCGTTTCGAAGGTTAAAAACAAGGCTATTTTTCTCGATTTTTTTATAGAAACTATACGGCCGATTTATTCTAGGTTTTACACATATATTAACATATATTTTATGTATAAATCAGAATTTTTTAAGTAGAAATAATGAAAGTTACGGAAGTTATACAAATATTTGCTCAACGTGTCCGAGGTTCCACGGTTCCCATAAAATCTGGACACTCAGTAATCTGAAACAGATTCTTAATCTACACATGTTCGGTTATCGTTGGAACTAGAATTATTAAAGACAAACTATTTCTTTAATTATTTCGCATGTAAATTTTTTTTTAATCGTTGAAGAATCGATACTTTTATATTAAAATAAAAGGAAAAAGTTAATAATAAAATCCAAAATTAAGCGACCCAACTGGACAGTTCACATTTATTCTGACTCACAACGTTTCGACCATAATTTGGCCCTTCTCAAGTGAGATATTATAATTATAATAAGTGTGATATAAAGACCCTCGAAATAAAAATATAAGTAGAAAGGACTGTAAGGGTCACAACGCGGATCACGATGCGTTCAGATATAAATGTGATTTATTCCTCGAATTACAAAATTCCAAACGTATCGGCTCCTGTCCGAGCCATCCTCAGTGATATAATATTACCATCAAAAATATATTCTCCTTTAACATGGTGAGTTTACTGTTTCAATTTGACAGAAACTTAGTGAGACTAAAAGGTCCAAATCTGTAACGTAATTAAGAGTTACATCCTTGTCTTAAATTAAAATTCTAGAAAAACTCACCAGGTAGTCTGGAGAAAAAATACATCGCAGTCAAACCGAATAATAAGAAAATAAGGCAAAGAGAATGATCTGTGCAGAGCGATCTGTAAGACGAGATCTCATCGACGCCGCGACGCGACGCACAACGAAAGACTGACGTAAAGGAGAATATATTTTTGATGTTAATATTATACCACTGAGGATGGCTCGGACAGGAGCCGAAACGTTTGGATTTTTGTAAATTGAGGAATAAATCACATTTATATCTGAACGCACCGTTATCCGCGTTGTGACCCTTACAGCCCTTTCTACTTATATTTTTATTTCGAGGGTCTTTATATCACACTTTATTGACAAAAGATAATATTACAAAAAAAAATATTTTCACAAAAACATTGCGATAATATTTCAGTTAGTTATTCCAGGCTGAATAGCGTATTTTCACAAACAAAAAATTTTTTAGTTTTGTATAGCCAAAAGTAAAATAAATCAGTATGTTAGATATATTAAATCAGATATATTAAATGTTATATTTATAAATCTGGTCATTATATCATAATTCTGTTTCTTTAAAATCTTTACTTTAAACATAATAGGGGTATTCAAATAAGTTAAAGTTTAACGGTTTGACAGGTTATGTCGGGTTAAAGTCGAGTAAAAAGTTAATTAATTAACTTTGGGCGCGTTACTCTTTAAGGTTATGCAAAATACATAAGTGACTCATTAACCTATCACATTAATCTTTGGGTTAAAAGTGTAAAAATTAACTTTTTACTCGACTTTAACCTGACATAACCTGTCAAACCGTTAAACTTTAACTTATTTGAATACCCCTGGTAACTTCCAGTTATGTTAATGTCTTAAAACATTTTTTTATTTAAGTAATAATTAAAATATCTAAATGTAGCAGGTCGGGACTGGTTGTGACGGGGTAGGTTGTTACAGCTTTCTACTTATAATTTCGACCAACTCGATGTAACTCGGCACAATAGCGGCAGATAATCTTATGTAATATTTCCGTTAACGTCTCTTATTACGTATTAAAACCGGTCAATACAGAACATCAATTACATTATATCTGTATTGTAATTTTGCACTCAACAATATAAATGTAATATAATACATGTTGTTACGTGTTGTTATTTCTCTTTATTAAATATATTATACTTTTAAAACTGGATCTTTCACAACTTAATCCAGTACTGTAACAACTTACTCCACATGCTGGGATAGTTGTTACAAATGTAGTCGCTTTATAATTTTTATTAATGCAATAAAATTAATTATACTATTCAGTTAAAAAAATTATTTTTGTTTTGTATAAACATGCGGCTATTGAAAAATTCTTTTGCGGCTTGTATTTATTAATTACATGTAAAAAAAATCATTAAAAAAATGTACCAGTCCCGGTCTTCCCTATAATGATTGATTCATATCTAATTGTAAGTCCAGATGTAGAAATCAAATGCGTTTTGTTTATTCAAATTTATAGCCATCACAGATGCGTTCTTTAATATAAATAATTATCTTAAAAATTTAACTTAATTAATGTAAAATTTAATTAACCCTCCGTAGTCACACCGGGTCAATTTGACCCGAGCCTCAACTTTGCTCGTAAATATCTTGCGCGTAACTTGAAAAATGGCGGGCATGACTCCCTCTAGCTGTAGTTCAAAAAACAAAAAAAAATTTTTTTTTAAAAACGAAAATTTTTTGCGAATTTTTTTTATATGTTAAAAATTTTTGAGGCACTTCTTTTTTGTAGCAATTAATTTAGCAATATCACAAGTGCATTCGAAAATTTTTTCAACACGATCGGTGGATAAATGGTCAAATGGCGAACGATCAAAGTTCGTCTCGGGTCAAAATGACCCAGAATGACTTCCTTGTTTAAAAAAATAGGTGTGACTACGGAGGGTTAATATCATTAATTATTGCAAAGTCAATCATAACAAAGAACTAAAACTTATAATTAGGAAGTATTTGTTTATTAACTTATAACTAAGAAGTATTTATTTATTTATTCAGGTCTATCCGGATGTAAGCCATACTTTAGCGGGCGTTAAGGGACATTTGTATCTCTCCATGGAACAGTTCTTGGAAGATTGTTTTCAAAAACAAGTACCTGTTGACACGAAAGCCGGACTTGGCAGCGGTGGCTCTGGTGGCATGTACTAATATTAAGAGATAGCGATTACGTGCAACATCACGTAATGATATCTTCGAATTGTTTGAAATTGAATTAAAAAAAGAAAAGAAATGAAATGAAAAAATTTGTGAAAATCTAAACATCTCCAAATTGTGTTCCATCTAATAGAATATTTACAGAAGATATGTGCATGGCCCATCGTTTTGTACTCCAACGCTCGAAAATACAATGAAAAGTGTATAATTATCCCGTGCATGCGTTTACACCGGTTAAAAGAGCACGTATCGATCATCCAATCAAATAAATTGTTTATGAAATATGCAGATAATATTTATTTAAAGATGTCTCAACACATCAGGTAAAATTGATACAACAGAATTTATCGCCGAAATATTCGAAAAAAATAATATTATAATGACAATCTTGTCACGTATACACACACACACACACACACATATATATATATATACACAGGGTTGCTATAAAGTCTGTTGTCACCCCTATATTTCACAGACAGCTCAAAATAAAGAACTTTTTTACATTGTAGTATATCGTTTGAAAGGACATAAAAAAAGAAAACTTTTGGCGCAAACCAAAGGTCGATACGTTGATCTGTTAGGAAGTTATTTTAATGAGTCAAATTTCGAAAAAGCCAATTTTTTACCCAAAATAACTCCCGAACGAGTCAACGTATCGACCTCTGGTTTGCGTAAAAAAATTTTCTTTTTTGTGTCCTTTTAAACAATATATTACAATATAGGGGGTTCTATTTAAATTTTTTCAGTTGAAGTCCCCCCTGGGGCACCTTTTGGGGAGACATCCTCTCTAATTTTCTTAAGAGTAGCCCCTCTCGAAATGATTGGACACGTATTTTGCAGTTTTTCATTATTTTGAGCCGTTTGCGAAATATAGGGGTGACACAGACTTTACAAAAACCCTGTTTTATATATACATATATATATATATATATATATATATATATATATATAATACAAATATATTTCTTAAAACATATATAACGATATTATTAATTCATTATACTTATAATTATAAAAAAAATGGCAAGTTATGACATTCTATATTTTATGAAGAATTTTTATGTTTGTACATACATAGTGATTTATTTAAATTTTCTTGGTTACTTAATTAATTTTAAATAATACTTTTGTCATAAAATAAATAATAATCTTAAATAATTGCATTTTTATAGTGAGAAGGAATTATATTTTTAACAATTCTTTTCACAATTGTATATTATTTAATCATCGAACGAATAACAAAAAAAATGGAAACAAAAAGAGGTATAGAATTATCTTGATTAATCGTGAAATCATAATTCCATTGTACATATCAGTGTACATATCAATCGCGTATATAAACATATAAGTTTCCACATTTACGTAACCATTCCGTCAATATATAATTTTTTACCTTTCTATCAATACACTGCCCAAGGAGCGCCAATGCGCGTATAATGCGCTTTGAATGTACATTAAACTTTGCATTAAATGCGGGTCGTAAATGCACATTTAAAGCGTATATTTGTCCCGCACTATATGCGCATTTAATGCATATTATGGCAGCGCATACCAAAAAGTGCCTACGCTCATTGATCGAGAAGCCCAATCGGACAACTAGTGAACTCTGTACTATATTAGAATGCTCACTACAATGTTTAGAAGCCGGACACGAAGAAAAAAGGAATAGGTTGCTCAGTGTCCACTGTGTTCAAACAGAGAAAGAAATGGACGTTGAATGCAACCTTACACTGAGAAAAAAAGCTGTTGCTTCAATTAAAGTGCTATCACGGGGTGCCAAAAACATAAGTAGTTTATTTAATTGTATTATTATTAGACCCAATATCTGGATTATTAAACCAATAATTTAATTATTCTAAGCATTGCTGTAAGCATATTCCAGTACAGCTATCACAGAAAAAAAGAACATTCTTATTTAGAGAATATCTTTATTTTTTACATGTAAATCTTGAAATGACATTATGTAGCGTATAATCTCGTTTTAAGAATTACATGTCAAAGATAAAAATATTCTCTAAATAAGAATGTCCTTTTATCTGCGTATAGTTTAATGGACAATCGAAGCTCCACCAACTTGCTTACCCTATAGGGGATCTAAGAATCTACACGTGCACCTACACGTTGATGCTTTAAACGCAGAAATAAGAACAAAGATAGTTAGTGGAACTATTTATTTAAAATTCAATTTATATAAAATTTAAAAACTTAAATAAAATGTTTCATAATGAGTAAGAAGCTACTTATTTAAATATAATATAAAATCTGTCATTCATAAATCAAATGCTCAATTTGCATTAATTACGCATTTAAATGCACGCATTTTGAACACACAATTAATGTAGTTTTGAGCCAATGCAATTGTACGCGCATTAAAAGCACGTTATACGCGCATTAGCGCTCCTTGGGTGGATACCCGAATACTCACTGCATATCTCAGTATATAATCTTGTAAAAATACTATTATAGCAGCTGCTAAAAACGCCCCGATTATTCTATCTTACTGTAGGTATTTTAAAGAATTTTCGTACAATAAAAATCTTGGTATACCTTTTTTGTGCCGAAAAAAAAAACAGTTTTTGACACGCGAGTTGTATTCAGTAAGCAACAGACATGAATAGGCGTGTTGCCATATATTTTGTATGTAATTGAGTATCTTCTGTGTTGTTTTTTATTAATTCATAATAATTGCAAAAAATATTATTATCAACATGGAGGAATTATTGAGAACATAAAATATAAAAAATGTCATTTAAAAAAATGTTTCGAGTATTAATATCAGCTGAAATACTTGTATATTATTTTCACTAATATATGTAAAAAAATTTTCTATACATATACAAGGTGTTTTCTAAGTAAGTACAAAAAATTGAAAGGAATATTCCGTGGCTTATTTTAGGAAGATCTTTTAGGAAGATTTTAGCTCAGGCTCTATAAACGTAAAGGTCCTAAACTGCTTCGTTTTCAAAATACAAGTTGTCAAAGTAGTGAAAAAAATATGGAAATTTCGAAAATCTGGAAAACGTTTAAAAATATTTTATTTGGTATGCGTACATGTGGTATTAAGAACCATTTTATAGTATCGATAGAACATTTTTTGATCCACCAGGGGTGTGACACCTTGTATTTTTAAAACGAAGCGGTTTAGGGCACATGTTTATAGGACATTTTCTTCCTAAAATAAGCCACGGAATTTTGTACTTATTAAGAAATACCCTGTATAGTGTATATGTAACAAAAATTATCTGATATATATATATATATATATATATATATATATATATATACCAGATATTTTTTGTCATCGTTTTCAGTTGAATGCAAAAAATAGGAGAGTAGAGTTATTATTAGATCCCATCGATTCTTCAGATGTTCAGATATTCAGATAAAGGTTGAATTTCTAATGTTAATACACTACAGTTCCACGCAAACTGAAACCAAAACACTAAATAAAACATTTTGTATTTTATCTAAGTGGTTTTTATTTCTTTAGTATAAAAATCTCCGAATATTTTAATTTTTCATATTTGCAATAAATTAATAGTAAATACACGGATACCTAATATATTAAACATAGGGATAAAATCAAGTTCAATATGTACTTAAAAATTCGATTTAAATCTAATGATCAAGTTTTATGATTCTAGGAAGTTCTTAGGATTCCAGTAATATTTATAAGAAATAATATTTTATATTTGCGAAATAATCGATTCCGACTAGTTAGTTTTGAATTTCAGAATGAGTATCTACATGATTCGAAATATATTTATAAATATTTTTTATTGTAAAAAATTGAATCACACACATTTACAAGTAGAAAAGAACTTTATAAATAAAATTTTATTATATATATTGTAGAGAATAATTGGATGATGCGGGCTGAGAGTTAACAATACGAAGAACTTTATTCATAAAATAAAAGTATAAGCATACAATTGTCGCGAATCACACGCGGCGTGGCGGCGACGCGGCAGCCGGCTGATCGGACTCGTTTGATTCTTAGTGAGAAACTGCCCTAGAACGTTCTCGCACTCGCTATCGTGATCACAGATTTCTATAACTAGATCGCTAACATATTATAGTTTGTTACGACATAGCTTGAAGTCACGGACGCCATATTTATCCCATTTACTCTATCACATACAGTGCTTTGTGAAGTAGTGTTAGTGTGCTCACTTCGCTTCGATTATATTTATATTTTGTAAAATTACAATAAAATAGAAAAGAATTTTTTTTTCATTTTGTTGGAATTATGCTCTCCGCAGGAATCGAGATGGTGGTGGTGATTGCTAACGAACGACTATTTTATATGCTGTTACTATAACTCTTTATTCTCGACTCTATCTCTACACACAGTATAAGACACCGTATAAGACACGTGTGCACGCGATGAGCGCAGACTGTCGTCTGTCGCTTCGTACGGCGTTCGCGCCCGCGTTGCTGCGCCACGCAGTGCCCTCTGGAAGGGCGCGAGTGCTCTACTCGCACAAAGCATTTTTCCAACACTCCCTCCCTTTGTGCGGGTCCTCTAAGTCTCTTTCTTATCTGAAAAATGGCAAAATATTAGTGTCACACTATATCCGAGTAAGATTTCGCTTTTAATTGCTCTTAAACTCTAAATTCGCTATATTATCTCTAAGATATCCGAATGCTTCCAAAGGTAACGGTTTAGTCATGATATCAGCTAAGTTTTCTCTAGTTTCTATCCATCTAACTTCTACTTTCCCTTGATCTACACATTGTTTGACAAAATCTCCATGAGTATCTGCCATGTGCTTTCGGTTTCCAGTATCTTCTCTTTCTTTTAAGTTTCTCTTTATTTCCTCTAGTTCATCATCAAACATCTTAAGTTTGTGACTTCCATCTTTCATAATGCAGTTTCCTGCAGCTATTATCACACAATATTACTGACGGAAAGAATGTTTCTCCAACAACATGTCTGAGTGACTTGTCCAGTGAAATCACTTCTTGACATGCCTCACTCATTGCTAAGTATTTCGCTTGACATGTAGAGAGTGTGACATAAGTCTGTTTATGACTTCTCCATGCTATCACATCTCCAAATAGCTTGATAATATATCCTCCAGTAGATGTAGAATCAGTACAATCCCTGAAACTTGCATCTGTCAATGCTTCTAGTTCGTTTGTTCTTCCTCTAAATATCAGTCCTCTATTTACCGTTCCTTTCAGATATCTAAATACTCTTTTCACATCTTGCCAATCTTCTTCTGTAGGCTTTAATTGTTTTCTTGCCAAGTAGTTTACTGCAAAGGCTATATCAGGT